TTAGCACTTCATGTTCAGTGGCTAGGAAAGGCTTTACTAAAAAGGGTGCTTTAAGCAAAATTCTGCAGAAAATAGACAGTTAGACATCAGGGGAAGAACATTCCAGAGAGGGAAAGACCTAAGACCCTAAGGCAGAAATATGCCTGGGAAGGAAAAAAGAAAAAGGAAAAGAAGAAAATCAGAGGCCAATCTGGCTGGAGTAGTTTTAAAAATAAATAAATAAAATGGAAAGTAGTATAGGTTAGAGGTCAAAAAAAGCCAGAACAGGCAGGTAGGGCCTTATAAGTCATAGTAAGGATTTCGGTTTTTACTGAGTGAAATAGGAATCCATTGGAGGATTTGAAGAGAGAAGCAGCATGCTCTTGCTGAAATTTTAATGTGATTTCTCTTGGGAACAGACAATAAGGTAGAAGGTGGGGTGAGGGCACAAGGACAGGAGACTGGGAAACCTGTCAGGAGGAGGTCATAATAATCCAGACAAGAGATACTGTGACATAAACCAGGGTTTTTGTCTAGAATTCCCAAAGCATGCTGGCTTGGATTCCAGGTCCCCAAGGAGGGCAGTCTGAGAATACACCGAAGTAGTTCTTTCTGGTAGAAAAATGAGTGGGGTTAAGATGGAGGAGGTGGAAGCCCAACAAATAAGTTCAACAAATAAGAAGGGAAGATGATCCTTGGGACAGAGTGATACAACTATGTTTTGTTGTATTGTGAATTTGATGTAAATAATAAGTATCAAACCAAAAGTGTATTATTCAAATCAATATTTATCTTTTTTTTATAGATATACCTCAGGAGTTTGTACCCAAAATATAAATGAAAGGATCTAAGAACTTCCAGCTAGGATCTTAGGCTAAAGCCAGTACTAAAAATATTCTACATCTCAAACGCTTCAAGAGTATAGAGGCAGTGGTTAGCTACCTATATGATGTGATTTGTGAGAAAACAAGGAAGCCCTGACTCAAAAAGAAAAAGTTCTACCACAGCTTCCTAACAACTAAAATCCCATTACAAGTATTCTGGCAACATATTTTGTCTTCTATTTAAACCCCAAGTATTATCCATAGAAGGAAATCATGTTAAATTTTTATCAAATATTTAAATGTTACTCTAAATACCTTTACCAGCTTTCTTAGTGAGGCTAGATCCAGAAGGGGATGGAAGGAAAACAGGCAGTTCTAAGAGTGTAAAGGAAAGAGATAAAACCAATAGGAAGGGCAGGGAAAGTAGAGGAAGAGGAAAGAAATCCATGTGCAATTCGAGTTTCTCTTTTACAGAGCCATGTCTCCTGTCCCCCTTTGTTCTCTGTGCATTCTAGAAAGCAAACAGACAGGCATACAGGCAGTGGGAGGAAAGAAGCATGCGGCATCTTTTATTCTTGCAGCCACTGATTCCTAGAGAGGTAGATACCCAATGTCCAGAGAGTCAATTTAGGATGCAGGGGGTAAAAGGTAAGTATAGCTGTACAACTGCTCACTGCCTCTAGATTTAAGCACATTCTCTGATGGGTACTCTTGTTGGCCAACCCAGGAATGGGTCTCATATTTGTGAGTAGGCAGTCCTGTCTGATGGGGATGTTCAAAGACCTATGCTGGTTGAAAAGATTAAAATAGCTGTAGTCTCCAAAAAGAGTGCCAGTTTTGCAAGATGAAAAAAGAGTTCTAGATTCAAGTTGCACAATAATGTGAATATACTTAATGCTACTGAACTGTACATTTAAAAACAGTTGAGATGATAAATTTTATGTTGTGTATACATTATCACATTTTCTTTAAAAGAAAACTTTAACTCCTTCTCCATCAGAGATCTAGTAGGAGGTTTTAGAACCCAACACCCTTTGACAGGATGAAACAACAAACCCTCACGTGGCATCTAGAGAGGTAACTAAATACAAATAATTAAAGTTTTAAAGACAATACTTTTCAGATTCAAGCTGTTCTTTCTTCTGCTTTAGATCCTCTTCTGTTATCCCACCCAAATGTTTATAGTTGCTCTCAGCAATTTCCAGAAGGTGTCTCAATTCTGTAATTTTGTTATAAGCTCTCACTGCAAGACACAATTTAATAAGAACCTAATTTAGACGTGTAACAGCACATATGCTCAGAGTCATGGTCCTCTCAAGCATTTTCTTTTGAGCCACCTACCTGTGTGGTTTGAGAAGGCAGTTGAAGAAAGGATAGTGTATATACAGAGGATAAAACATAAGTGACAGAATAGTTAGATGAGCAAGCAATAAAACACCTAAACATTGGGCTCTTACTCTGCTATTGGAGCACATATCAGACTATTATAACTATTAATGCTATGAACAAGAAGGTTTAAAGAAAACTAACAGTAGTATATTACATGACTATGTATAATCCACTATACATTAGAAAATCAGAAGAAATTAAATACGTTTTATTAATTTAAAATAACCTAGAATTAATCCATTCCAAATTGGGGTTAGTCACTTGTAATATCTATGAAAGAGAATACTGAGAGGAAGAAGTATTAGTTTCAATCATCCTCCAACTACCAAAACTATGATTTTTCTTTTCATCCTTAAAGATAGTGGGTCTCAACCTTGAGTGATTTTTCCCCCCTCAAGGGACATCTGGCAGTGTCTGGAGACATTTCTGCTTATCCTAACTTGGGATTCAGCTACTGGCACCTAATGAGTTCAGGATGCTATTAAATACCTTATAATGTACAGTAGATCCCCCTTCAACAAAAGTAATTCTCTGGACCTAAATATCAAGAGTATAAAAGATGGAAATTCTTTTGTTTACAGGACAAGGTTAGCAAATTACAGCCTCTTCTTCCTAACACCACTCTGATTTATCTATCAACCGATTGGAGCTGCAGGTTCTAAAATACAACCACCAGAATCAACTGGAGTATTTTTTTAAAAGGTAAATACTTGAAGCCCATCCCAGACCCACAAATTCAGGTATCTGTACTTAATAAACATTCCCCAGATAATTCTGAGGGGCAGATAGGTTTGGGAATCATCAACAAACAAAGTGGTAGAGGAGATTAAGGGGTAAAAAATGCCACATAAGAAAACACTGAAATATGGCTGGGGATGTAGTTTAGTAGTACAGCACTTGCTTAGCAGGCATGAAGCCCTCAGTTCAATCCCCAGCACAATTAAAAAGAAAAGAAAAAAATTGAGAGAGTTAAATAATTTCTTTAACATTTGAAAGGCTGTTTTGAAAGACATGTTCTGTGGAGGTAAAAGGTAGGATTAATTGGGATTAATTCCAGGAAAAGATTTCAACTTAATAAAAGAGAAATTTTCCAACAAAAACAATTAAAATTATCATGTATTTAAGGAGTGTCTATGACATACAAGATACTAAGAACTTTACCCATTTTAATCTTCAGAGAAATTCTAAAAAGAAATTTTCTTTCTAAATAATAGTGAGTGGCTTGTCACTGAAAGTGACATGTGATGACATGTGATGGAAATCTTGAACCAATTATCAAACCTCAAATGGTTATAGGGCTCAATGATGCCATAGACCTAAACATAATTCACTAAAATGTGCTCTGAACTGAGACTTGTTTCCAGTGAAGTCTAGGATCACAATAAATTCAACCAGTCCCTAATTGGTACTCTGGCAAAGAAAGGACCGTCTAGTTCTTTGTAGGTTTCCTTGAAATAAAATTAAATAGGGATAGTACAATGGCATATGATTTCATATATAGTATCCCTTCACTAGCTGCAAACACTCCAACTGAGTACCAGGGAGTGTCACAGTATAGCAAGAATGCTACAATCTCATTTGTATCAAACATACCACAAGGAACTATTCTAGTCACGTTCTCAGTCTTTCCCAAAACATCTTTTTGAAATTTCTTGACAGTGATTTCTTCATAAGTGTCTTCTACTCAAAAAATTTCATAAGAAACTGAAATCCTACAAGATCAATTGCTCATTTCCTGCAGTCCTTTACATTCTCAAAATATCAAACAAAAAGAAACCAAAGCACAAGCAACAACTTATAAAACAGATCAAGTGGCCTTCATCAATATCAAAAACTTTTGCACTGTCAAGGATACCATCAAGAAAGTTAAAAGACAACCAACAGAATGAGAGAATACCTTCAAATCATAGGTCAAAAGGGATTTGCATCCAGAAATGCTTTACAAGAATAAAAAGATAAACCAAGCAGTTGAAAATCAGACCAAGGATTTGAAGAATATACTGTGTATTTGAAGAATATATTGTGTATTTGTAAAATATACAAGTGGTTAGTAAGCACATGAAAAAGACAGTCAATATCATTAGTCATTAGAGAAACACCAATTAAAACTACAATGAGATACCACTTCACACCCACTAAAACAGATATAACCATAGACAAATAACAACAAATATTGGTAAGGGTGTGGAGAAATTCAAGCACTCAAAGATTGCTGGTAAGAATGTAAAATGAGCTTTACTAGTAGCATGAAAAACATGTTGCATCTTCTTATCTGACATTATCACTTTAAACATGGAAAAGTGGTTTTTATTTATTTTTTTAAATACTATTCCTTGAAGACCAGCAGACTGACATTTTTTTAAAATAACTTTATTTATTTATTTTTATGTGGTGCTGAGGATTGAACCCACATGTGAGGCAAGCGCTCTACTACTGAGCCATAACCCCAGTCCCTGAAAATATGGTTTAAAAAAAAATGTAAAATGGTACAGCTGACTTACAAAACATTTTGGCAGTTTCTCAGAATGTTAAACATAGAGTTGCTAGATGACATAGAAATTCCACTGCTGGGTATATACCCAGTAGAAATGAAAATATATTTCCACCCAAAAAAGTGTACATGAATGTTCATAGCAGTATTATTCATAATGGCCAAAATGTGGAAACAACTCATGTCCATCAACTGATGTGTGTGTGTGTGTGTGTGTGTGTGTGTGTGTGTGTGTGTATGATATCCATCTGAAAATGGATAATTTCATTTGGAAGAAATGAAAATATCAATTTTCATTTGGCAATAAAAAGGAATGAAGTACTAACCCATGTTACAATGTGTACACATGTTGAAACACTATTAAGTGAAATAAGAAGCCACCTATGGTGCAGTTCCATTTATGTAAAATGTCTAAAATGGGCAAATCTATTGATTCAGAAAGTAGATCAGCAGTTGAGTGTTAAAAAAGTGTGACTACTGGTAGGGAGGGATGACAGTTCTTTCTTTTTTTTTTAACATTTTTTAGTTGTAGTTGGACACCATACCTTTATTTTATTTATTTTTATGTGGTGCTGAAGATTGAACCCAGTGTCCTGCATGTGCTAGGCAAGCGCTCTACCACTAAGCCACAACCCCAGCCCCGAGAGTTCTTTCAGAGGTGATAGAAATAACATAAAATTGTGGTGATTGTTTGTAAACAAATATGTGAATACACTAAAACCATTTTATGGTATACTCTAAATGGGCAAATGAAATGGTATATGAATTATATTTCAATAAGCTATTTAAAATAAAGACGTTAGGAAACTCTAAAGAGATTGTTAACTCTCAGCACCACCGATGGGGGATCTCAGCATCTTCAAGTTCTCCATTGATTAGATTCACCAGGAAAGAGTCTTCCACTCTCCCTGGAGAGTAAGATTCTTTCCCATAGTGTTCTGGGAGTTCTTAAAAATTTTTTCAAAGAAAGAAGAAATCCATGAATTAGAAATAAAAAAAAAATACAGTGTGGATAAACTAGGTCTTTCTGGCAGAATAATTGAAAACACCCTACAGAGATCAAAAGAAACTGACATTTTTGAGCCTCTAACATGGGTTAGGCACTTTCCATCCTCTAGTGTGTTAACAATTCCATCAGGTAATACAATATTAACATTCTAATTTTCATAGATGAGAAAAGTGAGGATCAAAGAGTAACACAGCTAAGAAGTGATCAAGCTCTAGTATCTGAATTCACTGCCGAACTCTATTCACCCACTATACATGCCTTTGTTTTGGTCAGCCTCAGTTCAGATTCTTTTCACCCTTCTTCTAGGAAAGAGCTCCACAGAAACAGTTCTTATTCATTAGTACAAGCCATGGCTCTCTGACTAAATATCACGAGAAGTAAAATTACAGTTATATGGCATGAAATTATTCCTTTCAGGAGGCAATGTATGTGGTGACCAGAAAGAACACTGGAAAAGGAAGTCTGAAAGACTTGCTTCCAGCTGCTGTGTGATTTTGAGTAACTAACTTAGTTTCTCTGAACCTCAGGCTCTTTATTTATCAAATTATATTATACTAAATGAGTGCTTCTTAAAATATAAAACAGAGATATTAAAGAATTGTAAAAATTGTAAAATATTATAGAAATGTAAACCATTATTATTAGAATTTTATAGAATAAAAATTTTGACAGGACAGTTATATACTAGTAGCTGAACCATCAGCAGAAATGATACCAAAATTAAAGGTTTCTCCCAATACTAGAATTTAATTTAATTCCATAAAAAACAAAAACACTAAGAAAAGCTATTATCCTTCTGGCTTCAGGGTATACATTTGCATCAACCTAATAACACATCCCTTAGAGAGAAAAAAGCATTCCCACTTTCACTTGCTAATTTAGAATACTTATGTTTATCCATTTGTTATGGACTCAATGCATCTCACTAAAATTCTTATTTGAAGCCTTAGCCTCCAAATGTAACCTTATTTGGAGATATAGGTCTTTAGAAAGTAATCATTAAGGTTAGGTGACAGGAGAGTAGAGTAGGGTTCTGGTTCTGTAGATTAGTATACTTCCCTCTCTCTCTCTCCCCACCTCTCCCCTCCCTCTATGTCTCTTTCTCTTTGCCATTTGAGGATGTGGTCATCTCAGAGTAATAAAGAAAGCCCTCACAAAAAGTAATACTGCTGGACTTTGATCTAGGACTTCTAGCCTCCAGAATTATGAGAAAATAAATTTGTTATTTAACTCACCCCATCTACCGATATTTTGTTATGGTGGGGTGAGCACAGTAAGATATCATGTAATGGAATAAGACTGTCCTTTAAGTGGTAATCATAAAAATTAAATTTTGGCATATCTCCTTAATGCAATCAGTATAAAATTAAAAGCTAAGGGCCCTGGGACCCCAGGCGCTTCGCTCCCACAGCCTCTGCTCCCTTCCCGCTCAGCACCTGTCGCTCCCTCTGCACCTGTGGCGGTGGTCCCTTTGTGTCCCCACCCTCACCCTTGCCCGCCTGCCACGCTGGGCCTGTCGTGGTGTGTGTTGGGAATGCCGTGAAATAAACCCTTGCTTTTCACCAAAAAAAAAAAAAAAAAATTAAAAGCCAAAACTCTTTCATGAAATAATAAGGGAGGTTATTAACCTTGTTGTGAGAATCAAAGAGTAGATGATCAACAGTTCCATTCTTTTAAAAATAAAAAATTAACAAAAATGGCATAGTATTGGCATCAAAAGAGACATGATGATGAGTGGTACAGAAGATGCAGAGACAAACCCACATAAGTACAGTTATCTCATACTAGACAAAGGTGCTATAAACCTACATTGGAGAAAAGATAGCCTCTTCAACAAATGGTGCTGGGTAAACTAGAAATCCATATGTTGCAAAATGAAATTAAACAACAATCTCTCACCCTGCACAAAATTCAGCTCAAACTGGATCAAGGACCTAGGCATTAGACCCTAGAAGGAAAAGTAGGCCTGTATCTCTACTGTTGGCTTAGGAACCAAATTTCTGAATAAGACTTCTAAAGCACAAGAAGTAAAATCAAGAATCAATAAATGGAATGGTATCAAACTAAAAAGCTTCTTCACAGCAAAGGAAACAATTAAGAACATGAAGAGAGAGCCTAGAGAATAGGAGAAATTTTTGCCACCTGCACCTGAGACAGAGCATTAATCTCTAGGAAATATAAAGAACTCAAAAAACTTGAACACCAAAAAAACAAGTAACCTTATCAATAAATGGGAAAAGGAACTGAATAGACACTTCACAGAAGAAGAAATATGATCAGTCAACAAATATATGAAAAATGTTCATCATCTATAGCAATTGGAGAAATGCAAATTAAAACTACACTGAGAATGGCAATTATCAAGAATAAAAGAAACAATAAATGTTGGCAAGGATGTGAAGGGAAAAAGTACACTCATACATTGCTGATGGGACTGCAAATTGGTGCAAGCATTCTAGAAAGCAGTAATGGAGACTCCTCAGAAAACTTAGAATGGACCTACCATTTGACCCAGTTATCCGACTCCTCAGAATATACCCAAAAAACTTAAAATCAGCATATTTTAGTGTGCAGCCACATCAACAGCTAATTCACAATAGCTAAGCTATGGAACCAACCTAGGTGTCCTTCAACAGATGAATGGAATAAAGAAAATGTGATACACACACACACACAATGTAATATTACTCAGCCATAAAGAAGAATGACTTTTGCCAGTAAATGAATGAAAGAAACTGGAGACTATCATGCTATAAAATAAGCCAAACCCAAAAAAACCAAAGGCTAAATGTTCTCTGATATCTGGATGCTAACAATAAGAGGGGATGGAAGAGTGAGAATAGAAGTTCACTGGATTAGATAAATGGGAATGAAAAAAGTAGGGGGATGAGAATAGGAAAGTAGTAGAATGAATCCAACGTAACTTTTCTATGTTCATATATGAATACACGACCAGTGTAATTGTACATCATGTACAACCTCAAGAATGGGAAGTTATACTCCATGTATATATAATATGTCTAAATAAAGTCTACTGTCATATGTAACCAAAAACAACAAATAAAAAATCTTAAAAAACAAAAACAATAAAATATTTAAATATACTAAAATATCTTTTTGCTGTTAGAAGATGATAATTAAATTCTTATATATTTGTGTTTACCAATGTAATCCTAGCACCTAGAACCTGCCTGATACATAACCAGTAATCTATAAACATGTTCAATGATGAGAAAAATGCACTGATAAAGCACAATTTTGTGACTCTTTTTAGTAATACACTGAGTCAATTCAGAATATTTTCTGAATTTCAGAAAACAGAACTATTTCTGACACACTGCCATAGCCCTTAGCCTAGGGCTGTGAACACAGCAGATATATTTTATTGGGTGAACAGAATCCCTTCCTTATCCATTTGCCTATTTAAATCCTGGCCTTCAAAGTGAAGCCCAAATTCTGCTTCTGAAAAGTCTTCACTGTTACTCTACCCTGAGTTCTAAGAAACTCATTACTATTCACCTTGTTTTCTAGGTCTAAAATCTAACAGACACACTTGGTTACCTTCATTCTCAAACAACTTGAATCCAAATCTGTCAATGAATCCTAGCATCTCTCACAAAAATATATTCAAATCTCACCATCTCCATCATCTAAACTCTACTCTAAGCCATCATCAACTCTCTCCTGAACTAAGGCAGTATCCTCCTACCTAATCTCCCTGCTTCCATTCTGGTTCTGTGAAGGGAAGGGGATTTCCCGCACCACTGCAAATTTGGATGTAAAAACAATCAAGGCTGCCTGGATGCTGACTTTTGCTTTCTCCCCCACCATCCTCCAAATAAAGTATAGTTTTACTGATGCCATTTGGTTAAAGAAGCAGGAAATAAATATTATATATAACCTTAAAGGGAAACACATAATTGTAAAGTAAGCTCCTATGAAATGGTGATAAAGGCCTCTACTATAAAAACACTGAAGTAAAACAAGAATGGAGAATCCCAGTGTCAGTGGTAGTTACAGGTCTACATCAGGAAATCTGTGCAGATATGCTGCATCTACTCTTATATAATTCTAATTTAGTATCTGGAAAATTTAAATTATATTGTAGGGCTGGGGCATGGATCAGTGAAAAAAAAAAAAAAATGCTTGCCTAGCATGTGCCAGGCCATGGATTCAGTTCCCAGCACCACAAAAAAAACAAACAAAAATAAATAAATGAATATCAGAAGATTCATCCATTTGATGAATATACTCTCTTCCCACCTAATTGATACCCAAACTGAAATGTTATGCTCTTCCTCAGTCTTTTATCTATGAAGCAGCTACAGTGATATTGTTTTTAAACATGAATTAGGTCACATTATTCATAACCCCAAATCCCACCAATGGCTTTCTATCTAAAATAAAATCCAAATCTACCCACCAGCACAGAAGACTGAGGAAGGAAGATTGAGAATTCAAAGCCAGTCTCAGCAAAAGTGAGGCTCTAAACAACTCAGTGAGACCCTGTCTCTAAATAAAATTTTTAAAAGGGCTGGGGATGTGGCTCAGTGGTCGAGTGCTCCTGAGTTCAATCCCCAGTACCAAAAACAAATTTAAATCTAAAGTCCTTATTAGATCCTTAATCATTTTGTTGGGCCCATGGTTACCTCTCCAACTTTATCTGCCACCAGTTCCTTAATGATTTTTCTCCAGCACCCACTGATCACACTCAATACACTTAAGATCTTACATATACTGCTCCCTCTGCTTGGAATGTTCTTCTGAGACCTTCATGTGGTTCACTCTGTGGTTCATTCAGGTCTCTTCTCAAATTTTACCTCAAAGAGCTATCTACAGGACCACCCTACCACACTAGTTTATTTTATTTATGCATATATTTTCTTATCAATTATTTGTTACCCTTCCCTCTGAGAACCCCACCAGAATGTAAATTCCTCTGCATTCTTTATTATTTCTCCAATAACTAGTCCATATTAGATAATCAATAAATGTTTTATATTATCATTTGTAAAAATTATCAGCCAATGAACCATGGAAATCCTTGCATTATCTTTTCCCCTATTTCTTATGATACACTCAAAGATTTTTTTCTTTTATGTAACTTTCCCCACTTGAGGGACAACAACCAGGTCTTAGACTTCTTTATATATTCAACAACCCAAGAATAAAAACTTATATTAGTTCTGGCTCCCCAAGAACATTAAAGTTCTTTATATATAGTAATTGTTTTTAGAATAACTCTCATGGTAAAAAGTGACTATGGTATTTCTGAAAAGATAACACACAACAGAGGTGGCATACTTACTTCTAGCATCTGTTTTATCTGATTCACTCAGACTTAAATCATCCTTGGCATCAGTGCTTCCCTCAACACCATGCCTTACAAAAAACTTTAGGTCATTTTCATCAATATCATACTCATCATCTATATCATATTTCTGCAGCCCCTCTAGTAGCTTCACTGCTGCCAAGTGGGCAAATCTGTAGAAAAGAATTAATAATTAACCAGTTGCACAATCTTCAAATTTAAATTACAGTTTGCTCTTAACTTAGGCAATTCTACTCTGAATGTTCTTCCATCAACCCACCCCCACTAGTCAAGAAGAATGTTTGTATTTGAAGGTCAGATTTAATATACATTCAATTATGTAGGAAACTAAAAACAGTTACTGGACACAAAAGACAAGTACTCATATTTAAAACAGATTCCATAAGTTTTCCTGGCAAAATCTCACTGGGAAAGGAGATTCACTATCAAAAGAATAATTTGGTAGGCCCCCAAATAGAACTACTTAACTCAGAGAGCACAAAACTATCCTAACTTCACTCCCTGTCTTTGCTGCCTTTTATTGGCCCAATTTAGATTGTAAAATTAGTTCTGGTTCCAGATTTAGTTCTACCCTCATTAATCTATCCTTCCTCGACCCAAAGCATTTGCATGGCTTAAATTTAATAGAAAAGTAATGAAAAAAAAAAAAGAAAAATAATGACCTTCCCTTTGACATTTTCTGTTCTCTTCACTCTTTCTCATGTCTCTACAAAGCTTTCTGCAATATACTCTTGGTTTGGGAGCTTCTGTTGTTGTGATTAGATGTAATCTGCATATTTTTTTCCACAATTTTGCTAATTGGAATATTTAGTACTTTATCTTAAGACATGAAGAATTACTAAACACAAAATCTTTCCCCATATTTACATAACCATACACACGTACAAACATACATACATCATTATCTTTTATCAGATATTACAAACCATTTAAACACATAATAATATGGGTTAGGGGTGTAGCTCAGTGGTAGAACACTTGCCAAAGACACATGCATGAATCCATGAGTACTTGAGTACAATCCCTAGCACCACCAAAAAAAAAAAAAAAAAAAAAAAAAATTCTTAAATAACAGTAATAAAACTCACATAGAAAATTGTAAGGTTATCAGAATTCACTATATCTACTACTAGACCACTAATTTAACAACTATCATTTACTGAATGTTTATGTTAAATTCAAATTTATCTTTGTAATAACACTATTTTTCACACCTAGAATTTTAGTGTATAAATGAAAAATGTGAACCCAAAATTACAGATAACTCCAGATACAGCCATAGTACTCAATCACCTATGTGATATTCATATAAAAACTGATATATAGACCTAGATAAAATAGACAAAACAGAGTTCAGAAATAAGCCCACACATACATGAACAACTGATTGTGACTAAGGCAAAAGGCAGTGGAAAAAGGACACTGCACTTTTCAACAAACAGTGTCAAAACAAATGAATATGAGTATACGAAAAATAACTTAGGATATACTCATATCTTTTTTTTAAAAACCAACTTAAAATGAATCATAGACCTCAAAGTCCAAAATTATACAACTTCTAGAAGAAAATCTTTGACTTTGTACTAATCAAAGATTTCTTTAACACCAAAAACATAATCCACTAAAGGACAAATAAGTTAAAAAAAAAAAAAAAAACCTGCTCTTCAAAGATATTGCTGAGGTAATGAAAACACAAGTTACAAGTAGGGAAAAAATTCTGCAAAGCATATTATCTGAGAAAGAACTAACATCTAGATACATATGGAACCCTTAAAACTCAACAATAAGAAAATAATGCAATTTTTAAAAGTAGACAAGACCATCATTTTATACAACTAATACCAATAAAAAAAAAATGTGGGAGAAAAAAGTGGACAAAAGATCTGAAGAATCACTTTACCAAAATAAACAGATGGCAAATACATAATAAAAGGATTCTCAAAACCATTTTTCTTCAGAAAAATCAAATTTAAATGATAATGAGATACCACTATCATACCTATTTGAATTATGAAAATCAAAAATCTGACAATATCAAATGTTGGTGAGAATGTGAAATAACAGAAACTCTCATTCATTGCTGGTGGCAATGTAAATAGGTACTGTCATTTTAAAGCCATGTAGGCAATTTTTTAAATAAAGTTAAACACACATTTAGCATGTCACCCAGCAAGCCTACTGCTAGGTGTTTACCTAAGGGATTAAAAAGTTATACGGACACAAAAAAACAAGTATATTAATATTCATAGCAACTTTCTTCATAATCATCAACAAATGGATTACAGTTAAGATGTCCTTCAATGGGTGAAAAAACAATTGAACTACAGAATACTATGGAATTCTACATACAAGGAACACTCAACAGTAAGAAGAAAACAAACTATGAATCTACATAGCTGGGTTTCAAAATACTTATGCTGAGTGAAAGAAAACAGATATGAGTACAAGTTCAGTACCACATAACAACACTGATCATCAACAGACTGCCTATACTTTGGTGGTCTCATAGTATTAAACAGAGCAGAAACTTTTCTACCATCTAGTATTTTTCTGGGTACTCTTTTTCTAGGACCTTTTCTATGTTTATGTTGTGTTACAATTGCCTATGCTGTTCAATATAGTAACATGCTGCACAGGTTTTGTAGCCTTAATGTATAGTATAGTAAGCTATACCATCTTGGTTTATGTGATTTATCTCAGATTGTCTCCCCACCATTAAGCAACACTTGACTGTATACATATGATTCCATTTATATAAAATTTTATAAATGCAATTTTATCTATGGCGAAAGAAAGCAGATCAGTGTTTGCTTTAGGAAAGATACTTTGGCATTGGGAAAGAGATTATGAAGAGGCAAAAGAAGACTTTCAGAGGTGATGAGTATGTTTACTATCTCAATTATAGTGATGGTTTCATGGTGTCTACATATATAAAAATTCATTTTATACTCTACAATTATGTACATTTTATTATATGTCAGTTATGTCTTGATAAGCCTATTTTAAAAAAATAAAAATACACCTGGCACTGGGGTTGTGGCTCAGTGGTAGAGTGGTTGCCTTGCAAGTGTGAGGCACTGGGTTCTATCCTTAGCACCACATAAAAATAAATAAATAAAATAAAGGTACTAAAACTATTTTTAAAAATAAAAATAAAAAAATACACCTGAGTTGGCAATGATCCCAGGTACATGATACAATAAAACCATATTCCAAGGCATCAAAGAAACACCACAGATAAAATTTTTTTAAATGAGCACACACAAAAAAATCTGCAATTATTTGAGAATGACTGCACCCAAGCATCAGGTCAAGCATCACCTTCCACTGTTAGCCCATATTCACACTTTACATTCATGGAGTTCTGAACCACAAACATACATGATATTATCTTATAACTCCTCCTCCCTTGACCTCTATTTAAATTCTGTCCCCCTATAGTTTCCTTCATAACTCTTACCATCATATGTAATGATGTAAATGTCTCTCACATACATACATACATACACACACACACACATACACACACACACACACAAACACACACACACACACACACACAAAACTGACAAACAGGAAGGCTTGGGCCTTCCTTGGTTTTTCTCACAATATTAGGGATTGAACCTAAGTTATATCCCAGTCCTTTTTATTTATTTATTTTTTATTTTTGAGACAGGGTCTTGCTAAGTTTCCTAGGTTGCCTCAAACTTGCAATCCTCCTGCTTCATCCTTTTGGAGGATTTCATATGTTCTTACAGCACCTTTACACAGTATATAATATGGTACAATGATGATAATTAATAAGAACTTTTGTTTGAATATTTTCTCCCCACATTACTAATAGCTCCATGATGTCAGGGGTTGTTTTCTCATCTTTATAATCTGACTAACCATCTGGGTCATGGTAATAGACTAGTAGTAGAATGAAAGAATAATCAAATGAACAAATGAATGTGTCTAAATATTCCTTGAAGATCTTACCTGAATGAGCTGGTAGTGTTTAATAATAGGTGTTATATTTAATTCAATTATAAATCCTAAAATACATTTAAAACCCCTTGAATTTCCTTTTGTATTATTAATGTTAATTATTTCTTTTTATCACACTAGTACCACAATATATCTTAAAAGGTTACTACAGACACTTGGGCAGGACAATTCATTGTACACTACTATTCTGAACACTGCAGAATATTTAGCATTCCTAGATCTGAACCCATTAAAGATTAGTGAAGGTCATTCTAACAGTCACTGTGACAATCCTCCCCTTGATTTCTAAATACCCTCCTCCCAGGAAAGGAGACAAATGTTACTTTCCAGGTGAGAATCACAGTCTTAAAGAAAGGAACTAATACAAAGCAAATGTCAATTCAGCTTGAAAATTGTGATTTCATCTGCATTTGAATGAATCTTTGAATTTGATTTAATTCCATTAAATCCTCAGATGTTTCTAAATAAGAAGGTATAATTAAAACTTTAAAAACAAAAGAAAGGAACAAAGGAGATAGGGATCTATACCTCTTAGCCACATCACTGGGTGTCTCCCCTGCTTTGTTAGTAATATTACTGTCTGCTCCCACTTTAATTAACCACTGCAAACATTCTATGTGGCCTTGTCCAGCAGCTGTTTTAAAAATAAAATAAAATAAAAGGAAACAAACAAGAAATACAGAAAAAAGAGTTGTTATTAATAACAATTTCAAAAATTAGGGACAATCCTATTATATTTTTTGTTGTTGTTGTTTCATTGGTACTAGGAATTGGACCCAGGGGTGCTTAACCACTGAGCCATATCCCTGGCCTTTTTTAAAAATATTTTAATAGCGATAGGATCTCACTAAATTGTTTAGGGCCTTACTAAGTTGCTGTGGCTGACTTTGAATTTGTGATCCTCCTGTCTCAGCCTCCCAACACTCTGGGATTACAGGCGTGTGCCACAGCACCCAGCTAGAGTACTTTCTTAAGTACTGATCCTTGTAGTAACTAAGAAGATTAAGCAAATGTTATTTGCTATGTTTCCTTTATTTATTTTTTATACACACATGTAATCAAATATATACTGTACTTAGTCTCCATACAGAGAATTTTACTTACAGACATAAAACATGAAGCTCAAAGATAGTTCTGTTGTTGTTGTTGTTTTGTGTGTGTGTGTAGGGGAGGTACAGGGATTGGATTTATGGGGCACTCCACAACTGAGCCACATCCCCATCCCTATTTTGTATTTTATTTAGAGACAGGGTCTCACTGAGTTGCTTAGCACTTTGCTTTTGCTGAGGCTGGCTCTGAACTTGAGATCCTCCTGCCTCAACCTTCTGAGACTGGGATTACAGGCTTGCACCATCACGCCTGGCTCAAAAATGTTATTTATTTAACATCACACAGCAAAGAATTAATGAATTTGAAGCCAGAATCCAGTTTTTTATAATCCTTACCCAAGTGCTTGTCACCTACGATAGAACTCCTACCCAATCTTGTATCACACCAGAATATGAGTACATGCCAACCACTGAGACCTATATAGATTTTTTAGAAATCTTACTCCATTATTTATATGTTATTCCTCCAACTCTCACAACTCACAATTAGTAACCTCTTAAACTATACTTAATATATGAACTGTTATCACCTTTGTCTAAATCTTGTCTTCAAAATATGTACTGTCTATATTAATTTTCATCTCCACAACTCTGCTCTTCCCACTCCAAAGCCCATCACCAAACTGTGTGTTCATTTAATTTCTACCCATTATTCTTGGTCCATTTAAAGGCTCAGGAAAGCTTTGGAAAATAAGCTTGATAAACCTGAATTTAAGTCTACTAAACAATGAGACTTGAGAATAGGACTGTAGTCTTCATCCCTAGAACACACCAAGTAGCTAGCACATATGCTCAATAAATGTCTATGGAGTTCATGAGTGAATTAATGCATGAAAAAAATGAATGCGATTCTCAGCTTTGCTCTTACTAACTACATAACCTGAGTCAAGGTAACTGACCTTTCTTAACCTCAGTTTCCTCATCCTTTACAGAGACGATGTTTTATTTATAAAGAAAGCATACTGCTATTTCATAAAATTACAATAAAGATTAAATATAATAAGAGCTTTGCATTCTATTAGGTGTCATATAAGCATCAGGTATCATTACCTGATATTATGGATACTTCTTCAATAATTTGATCCTTACCAAATTTTTCTGTCCCTCAACTCCTATTCCCAAATTCCTATCATGTGTATTTTAACAGCCAATTTTTTGCCACTAATTACACCCCGCCTTATTTAAAAATCTCAATTTTTTTTATGGGATAAGTCTGTAGCTCCTTAACAGAAAGGCCTGGCATTCTGTCTTCAGAAAGCAGACACATAGTTGGTGCTGAATATATAACTATTACCTTATAAAATTATTGGTACACATGGTACTTAGATTCTATACTTGGGGTGCATTATAGATCAAATAAAGTTTAACAAGCTAAAAACCTACCAATGGGAACATAATATATGATTTGGGGATATCCAAAAGTTATTTATGAAATAAAGTTCAATTTAAACACATGATTATATTAGCAAGTCTACTATCTTTTTTTCCTAAGAGCTTCACAAACATCACCTTCCATCACATCATGAAGAAACTTTTAACACAATACCAGAAACAAAACAGAATGGAAGTTTCAAGCATAATGGGTTCCAAGATTTGATTTTTGGCTAAAACCAAAAGGGGAGATGAACATAATTTCTAGAATCTCAACACCAAGTTGACAATTTGACAAAGTCTGATTAAAAAACAAAAGAACTCTAATCAACATTATAGAATTTCACATGGAAGGAAGGACAATAAAGTGGCAGAGTACCTTTGAAATATGTTCAAATCTAACTGTGTCCATTGATATTTCTATGGAAGTAAAAAAATTTTTACAGGTCTAAAGAACAAAATGCTGCTATAAAATTTTTCAAGAAATATATTTCCATTTTAGCACCACTTGACAGGCTCATTTTAAATACGTTAAGAAATTTGTCTAGCCATGCATTTCACATCTTCATTAACATTATAATGTCACAATAGAAATTTCATTGGAATGAACCTTACATGTGACAATGTGTAGGTTGTGTGGCATCATAAAAGGTTCAAAACACTTGAATTGAAAATCAGTCATTCTGATTTTCATAGCTTTTTTATATGAAAGCCATATATCGTAGACTTATACTGCTAAGACATAAAGAAGAATTTTCATATTTTTCATATGTTTCTGATGGATAATTACTTCAAATAGCATAACTCAGCTGCAATTGTTATCAGAACTAAAAATGAGGGGGAATATAATAGTTCACCTTTATGCATAGGAGTTGATCCAGTATCATCACGTTCATTAAAATTGATTGCTCCTTCTTCTACTAATTTCTTAAGCATTTCCAAATCACCCTTAAAGGCAGCCACATGACCTGGAAATGCTAATGCTGTCGAGAAAAAAATTCAACATTTAAGTAAACACATGAATTATTCTTTTCCCTTCCTTAAGCTGTCATATATTTCAGGTTCCAATATTATCTCAAATGTGAGGTTTTTATATTAGAATGAGTTCAGTTGATGTGTGGCGAGTAATAAAAAGAAAATTATAAAATAAGATTATTACCAGTTGTGCTACTCTTCCTCTCCTCCAGACTTCAAACTTGCCAAAAGTATTGAATCAGATATATTACTAGTCATATTCCCTTTCTCCCTCATCCCACCACAAAACACAAAAGGATGGTCATTTCAACTCTTTGCATGAAGACACAGGTCTCAAGGCCTACATGTGCATAGACCATTCCCTCTTCTGCTTGCATTAAAGTGAAGAATCCGAAATATCCTGAAAATGGATAAGAAGTATGTGTGGTCCTATGAATATATGTATATATACTCATACATATAAACACATGTATGTAAAAGTACCTAACCTGGTGCCTTGAACATAGATGCTTGATAAAATGTCTTGAATTATAAAACTATATATAGTGAACCCTTGCTAAATGCCAGACACAGTAGTAAGCACTTACAAGAATTAATAATAGACAAACACACATTTATGGCAACTGGGTTTTTTTTGTTTTGTTTTGTTTTGTTTTGGCAACTGGTTTTTGATAAAGGGGCTAAGACATTTCAATAAGTAAAAGGGAGTAAAGGAAAAGTAAATAGGTAAAGTCTTTCCAAAAAATAATGCTGGAACAACTGATTATGCATAGTTTAAAAAAACAAAGTGACACATTTCATTCTATATACAAAATTAAATTGAGGTCTAAATGAAAAAGTTAAAACAATAAAGATTTCAGAAAAAAATTAGGAAAATAGCAAATTGATCTTGGGACAGGCAAACATATCAAAATAGGACCACAAAACACTATCCCAAAAAATCAATAAATTGTACTTAGTCAAAACTTAATACATTTTCTCTTTGAAAAACACCATTTAGAAAACAAAAAGGCAAGATTTGAATGGGAAAATATTTGTAATTCATATACCTGACAAAGAAATTGCATCTAGAATATGCAAAGAACCCTGAACACTCAATAGTAAGCAAAAAAACAACTCAATTTGTGGTGGGGGTGGGAGGGTTAACCAGGCATTGAACTCTGGGGTACTCAACCACTAGGCCACATCCCCAGCCCTATTTTGTATTTTATTTAGAGATAGGGTCTGAGTTGCTTAGTGTCTCGCTTTTGCAGAGGCTGGCTTTGAACTTGAGATCCTCCTGCCTCAGCCTCCCAAGCTGCTGGGATTACAGCCATATGCCACCATACCCAGCCCAATTTTTTAAAATGGGCAAAAAAACTAAACAGATACTTCATAAAAGAAGATATACGATTAATCAACAAGCATAGGAAATATGTTCGTCCTTAGCTAAAAAAGAAATGTACTTTAAAACGATAATGCTACATATCCATTAGAATGACTAAAGCAGAACAGACTGCCCAAGTGCTGACAGAATGTGAAGAACATGAAATTTTCATATATTTTTGCTCAGAGATAAAAAATAGATATGACTACTTGGAAAATATTTTATGGCTTCTTAAACAATAAACATACACCTACCGTACATTCTACTCCTGGGTATTTACCAAAAGGAATGCAAATATGTGTCTACAATTCATGGCAATTATTAATTATACACCAAAACTGGAAACCATACAAAAGCTCATCAACAGGTAAATGGATAAACACAATGCAATACAATGGTAACCAAAAGGAATGACTTATTGGGTACAACAAGGATGAATCTCAAAATGACTTCACTGATACATAATAAAACTCTAGAAAATGTAACGTAATCCATAATGATAAAAAAGTAGACTAATGGTTCTATGGGGTCAGGATACAAAGAGGGATGAACTTGAAGAGGATATGTAAAAAAACCTTTGGGGTGATGGAAATGTTTGTACCTTTATGGTTGTGGTGAATTCTTGAGTATATATTTATGTCAAAATTCATCAAAATGCATGCTTTAATGCAATTTAAGTAAATTATTCTCTAATAGGATTGATTTTTTTTAAAGGACACCATAATCAAAGTGAAAAAAATAAGCCACATGAGAGAAAATATCTGTAGCAGATAAAAATTAATACATGATTGGTTTCAAGACTATATAGAACTCAAAATTATTTAGAAAATAAAAAAGAATGAAATTTTTAAGAAAGGAGAAAAATATAGGTAGGCAATTAAGAAATTTTAATATATATTTTAATATGCATTATATAACTAAAATATAGTATCATAGAATGAAGTGATAAACCCAAAATAATAGTTCACTCTTGAGGAGGAAAAAAAAGGTAATGGTATTATGGAGAGAGAGCCAAGTAACTTCAACTTCCTAATATTTTCTTTTTAAATTTACTGATACAAATAGCACTCTTTATATTAATCTCTATACACTTTGTCAATAACTTTATGAAAAGATATTCAGCCTCATTAGTAATCAAGAAAATGCAAATCAAAACACAAATTAAACCTTTTCATACCCAATTGCTTGGTAAAAGTTGAAAGTCTAATAATAGATATATTGTGTTTCTCTACATCCTCGTCCCAAACTGCTGGTAATAGGGTAGATTTTAACCATTTTCATGAAGAAAGTAGTAATACTTTTTATATTGAAAATGGGCATATCCCACCAAGCAACTATTTACTAAGACTCTTCATAAAGGTAACAATTTACAAGGTACTTGGCTTTCCAACTTTTACCATGGCACCCTAGATCCATAAAAGCAGAACTCTAACTCTGAGTTTTCTGAAAAGATAAGAAAGACCTTAAGAAGATTCATCCAATGATCCCAGCATGCCATGCAAAGATTATCATTTCCTATGTAGGCTGTGTGTGAAAAATGTAGGGAAACACATCTCTAAGGAAACTTATAAACAAAACTAAGGAGACATATACAAAAATATAATAGTAAAAACTTTGTAAGCAACCTACATGGCAAATGGAGACTGAACATATCCATTAATATAATAATTTCAAAAACACAAGATTTTATGAAAAAATAGCATGGAAGGCTATGTACTTTTTATGCCATTTTTTAAAGGTTTTAAAAGAAATTTCAAAGACTGCTTGTTGTCCACCAAAATACTCTTCCTTCAGTAGCATTAGAGTTGCTGCTGAGATGAGACTTCCCAGCTAGGTAATGAAATATCCAGGCTTCCTTAAAAGCTATTTATGTAAATACAGACCACATGCTGTCTATAAAAGAAAAAAAAGCTATTTATGGCCATGTGACTAATTTTCCAACTTAGTGTTAGCAATCTCCAACTTGGAAATCAGTGTCATAGGCTTATATCATGTTCTCTTCCCCTCCCCTAACATCTCACCCCTGCTTGATTAGCAAAAACTAGAGGGAGTTTATAGCATAGTAGGCTCTGAATAACAGATATAACAGATTCACTCTTTAACGCAGGCTGTCAAATACAAGAAATAAACATATATCATTTAAGTAACTGTATTTTAGGATTTCTTTACTACAATAGTTTAGCCTCTTATTATAACAAATATACAAAATAATACTATATATTTTAATGATATAGTACACACACATAGATACATTCATAATTAAAATATAAAATCAGAGAATGGAATAATTAATCAACATAATACTTTACCCTGGAGGAAGAAGAAAAAATAATAGTATTACAGAGACAAGTTCAAGAGATTTCAAACTCTGTAATATTTTATTCTTAAATTCAGTAATAACAGTGTTCCTTATGTTATCTCAACATACTTTTGTCTAAACTATTTCATAATAAATATTCTGGATTAATGTTTGAAAAATGATATATCACAAATTTTAATGAAACATGTGCCTTGTAACTTCTTTTCTTTTCCCATTTGATTCTATTTATTATTACCATTATATTATAATAACATTTTCAGGTTAATTACTTACCTTCTTGATCTCCTAAATCATTTCCTTCATATTTAGCCCCCTGGATAAACTGTAAAATATTGTGTTTAAAAAACCTCTGGGCCAGGTCCACTACATTTTCTCCATTATCATTGAAGGCTTTTAAAGCTTGTGTTCCACTATTCATTCTGCTGAGTAGGAATTTAAAACAATGAAGGTGGCCTTCCATGGCTGCTAAGTGAACTATAAGTAAGAGGAAAAAGAACAATATAATTGTAAAATTGAAATTGAAGTAATTTGAAAAAAAGAAAGAAATAATATACAAGCTCTAATCCTCATAGGGAAATGACCATCTCTGCCTCATATGTCAGGGACTTTCCCAGAGAAAGGAGAACAGACCTTCTTTCCAGTCTTTATCTCTTTATGCAATAATCAGCCTTCTCTTCATGAAAAAGCAGTAGACCACCTGGTTGAACAGTTACACATATAGACAAGACTTTGTATTACATGCTGTGATGTACCCAGAATTTAGAAGAGGGATTTGCATGGAGTAGGTGCTCAATAAATATGTCAAATGAATTTTTTTTAGACATGATTTCACTTTGTTACCCAGGCTGGTCTTAATCTCCTGGGCTTAACTGATTCTCCTGCCTTGGCCTCATGAATAGCCGGGACTACAGGTGTGTACAATCATCCCAGCTCCAAGTTAATAATTTTTTTGAGAGGGTGGAACACAAGCAGTCTAGTCCCAAGGATGCAGTCTTAATCTCTACATTATACAATTAAAAATATATACTACTGGTTATAAAATAATTACAGATATTTAAAGAAACAAAAGTTAGGTTTTTAAAACTGAGACAGCAAAAGACTAATCAAAATAATCAGGCATATTTTGAATAAAACTAATCCCTACCTGCATTACACACAGAAAAGTCAGTTCTAGGTGAACTAGGGATCTAAATATGAAGAGTAAAATAATAAAATTTCTAGAAGATAATATAAACAAATATTTTCATGACCACAGAAGATTTTTTAACAGGATACAGAAAGCCCTGGCCATAAAGGAAGAGATTACTAACCTAGTTAACATTAAAATTTGGTTTGTGTTCTTCCCTCCTCCCACCCCAGTACTAGGGATTGACCCCAGAGACTGCACTCTACCACTGAGCTATATCCCCAGCCCTTTTTATTTTTTATTTTGAGACAGCGTCTCACTAAGTTGCCCAGGCTGGCCTCAAATTTATGATCCTCCTGCCTCAGCCTCCTGACTCACGGGGATTACAGGCACTTACCACCACACTTGGCCTAAAATTTTAAACTTCTACTCATCAAAAGATACCTTAAAAGGGCTGGGGATATAGTTCAGTTTGTAGAGTGCTTGCCTTACATGTACAAGGCCCTGGGTTCAATCCCCAGCACCACAAAAAAAGAAAAAAGAAAAAAAAAAAGATACCTTAAAGAATAAAAAAGTGATTCAGTCCTTCAATCCACAATAATACAAAAAGAAAAAATGAAAAGGCAAGCCATACAGCAGAAAAGAGTTACATGAAAAGATACTTGCAATGTATGTAGCTGACAAATGGTTTATATCTGTATGGTATAAAGCACTTCTACATTTCAATAAGAAAAAGAAGATGCAACAAAAAATAAGCAAAAGAGTTGAACTAGTATTTCACAAAATAACAAAATAGCCGTCAAAAAATGATGTTGCATATTTTTTAAAATTTTTTTTGTTGTAGATGGACACCATATCTTTATTTTATTTGTTTTTCTGTTTGTTTGTTTGTTTGGGGTTGTTTTGTTTTTGTTTTTGTTTTTAATGTGGTGCCAGGGATCGAACCCAGCAAGCGCTCTACCATTGAGCCACAATCCCAGCCCATATTGAATATTTTTAGTCATCAGGAAAATATAAACTAAAGCCACACTGAAAGATTACTATACACCCATCAGAATGACTAAAACTAGGAAAACTAATAATATTAAGTATTAATGAGAGAATGGAACAACTGAAACTCTTAAACACGTCTAGTGTGGTATGTAAATTGGCACAATTAGTTTGGGAAAGCTAAAGAAGCCAGATATAAAAGAATACCTGTATACTGTTTGATAATATAGAGTTCAAAAAGTAAAAAGTAAAGAAAAAAGGGGGAGGAAGAAGGGAAATATTACTGGATGGTGGTAATATTCTGTTCTTGACCTGAATGACAGTTACAGAGAAGTGTTCATTTTGGAAAATACAATGAGTTGTGCATTTGAATTGGAAACTTTTATAGATGAGTGTTAGTTTAAATTTTTGTTTTTTAAAAAAGTGAGTGAAATAAAAAGTGAGTTTTTAAAATAATTTTTTAATTTGTTTTAATTATTTATACATGACAGGAGATCACATTTATGCACTTTGATATATCATACATAGGTGGGATATAATTTCTCATTTTTCTGTGTACATGTTGCAGAATCATATTGGTCATGTAGTCACATATATACATACAGTAATAATGTCTGTTTCATTCTACCATCTTTCCTATCCCCACATCCCCTCCCCCCCACTCCCTTCCCATCACTTCCCTCTACCTAATCTAAGGTAATGCTATTCTTCCCTAGTGTGCCCTACTCCTCCCTCACACTCTACCCCCATCCAACCTTATAGTGAATTAGCATCCACATATTAGAGAAAACATTTGGCCTTTGGTTTTGTAAGAGAGCAAATAGGAGATTCAAGATGGCAGGCTAGAAGAAGGCTGGCATTCCTAGACATTGCTTGACTCGAGATTCAAGCAGCAGGAGTACTGCTTTCTCTGTGAGTTGAGTGAAAGAGAGATTTCAATAAATCTCAAAATTGGATGGTCAGAGTGTCTTAGAGATTCAGAAATTTGGGTATATTAAACAAAGAAGAAAGATTATATTGGAAGGGCTGGAGCTGTAGAAGAACAGGAGCACAACAGGCCAAGAATATTTCACCCAGGGGAATTCAAGTCAGTTTTCTTTGCTTTAGCAAAGGGGATCACTTCCCCTTTTGAGTCTGGTGGCTCATGTGACCAGCTAAAGCAGGCTGGAAAACTGAACAGGTGGGGGTTGCATACACTCAGGGACTAAGCCTGGGAAGCCTGGAAAGGCTGTGTTCAAGGGCAGCAGAAGAGGTGAATGATTGGCTCCCTCACCTCATAAGTAGAATCCTAATGAGGCTCTGGAGAGCCATATTCCCAGCAGAGATCAGCAACTTCCAGGGCCTAGGGGTATGTTGATCTAATCTCTCCAAAGCAGACACAAGCCAACAAAGCCCCTGAGGTCTTATTAGACCTAAGCCCCACCTGCTGGAACACCACATACAGAATTCTGCAGCAGCCCCACCCCAGAAGAACATCAATTTGGTCTGTGCAGACAAAATTCCAGCTGAGAGTACTTCCCATTCCATCCTACTGGGGAGAAGAGAAGCTGAGAATTATATGAACCAGCTTCAACCATAGGCCACTCCAACTGGCAGCTTAGTGAGTACTGGGGAAAAGAGAAGCTGAGAATTATTTGAACCAGCTTCAACCATAGGCCACTTCAACTGGCAGCTTAGTGAGTAACACAAAAAGAAGAAGAGTTTAATAACTCTCAGCCCTTGTTCTTGCACTCAGTACATAATTCAAGAAGAAATGAAAAGACAGTCAGGCATAGATAGTAACCATCTGTTCTTATTGACTATTTTGACCACCTCAGTGGAAACAATTCCTTTTTATTAAGATTTTTTTTTTCTTTTTGTTTTTGTGCATGCTTTTGCTGTGCTGATTAGTTCATGACATACATACATATTTATATCTTTTTTCAGATTTTTAGCATCTTTTAAATGTTTTTTTTTCTTTGCCTTGTTATTTTTGTTTTGTTTTGTTTTGGTACTGGAAATTGATCTTAGGATCACTTAACCACCGAGCCACATATTTTAAATTTTTTAAAATTTGTTATTTTGAGACAGGATCTCACCAAGTCCTTAGGGCTTTGCTAAGTTGCTGAAGCTGGCCTTGAATTTGCAATCCTCCTGCCTCAGTTTTCCAAGCCACTAGATTACAAATATGCACCACTACACCTGGCCTTGCCTTGTTTTTTAAGGGTTAAGGGTTTCTCTTGTTTCTCTTTCTCTTTTTTTTTATTAACAGCCAAGCCTCTTGTTCTTTCACTCTCCCTTTCCTATGTTACTTCTAGTTTTTTTCTCCTCCTTCCTTATAACCATCACAAGCTACATCTTTTCTGCATCTCACTTTTTGAAATTGTAAACTCTTTTCTACCTTCCTATCACATTTTCTTTTCTCTTAACTGTATTCTTACCATCTTTTAGCACTAATTGGCTTATATAACTCCTGTCCCCACCATTAATGCTGTTGCAATGATTACTGCTGTGGATGCCATAGTTGACACTTAACACCAAATATAATATATGGTTACTTATTGTTTTTGCTGATGGCAATTACTGACCCTACCATTTCTGGTTTTTGTGGCAATTAACATTGTAGATGCCATAATAGGAAATGAAGTATTAGTTTAATGCTGCATATTGTTTGCATAGGTTGTTGCAATTCTTTGTTCCTCTTATGAGATGCTGGGAACCTACAGGGACACTACAATTCACAGGGTAAAACTCTGCTGCTGAACTAAACTCAACCAAAAGACAGATGCACCTCGCTCCATATACAAATTAGTGACAATCTTTAGCTACACTTCAATACAAAGAATGGAAGAGATAAAAACCCAAACCAATGATCAGGCCTGAAGTAAAAATGACTAGAGGTAGACACCAACATCTCAACTATGGACATCTATTACTGTAGCCAAAACAGAGAGAAATAACATGAAGGCTGTGGATACCTACAAGGGAGACTCAATCCAGATCACTCTAGGACACTTTAGCAAGTGAAGATTGTGCTCTATCAAGGCCCACACAGAAGAGTGGAAGAGAAACACATTCCAACAGGTACATAAAATATGAAAAAGCAAGCTAACACAATACTTCCTAATAGTCATAGTTCACCAGCAAATGACCCCCAAAATACTGAAGTGAATGAAATATCAGCTAAGTAATTCAAAGGAATTATTATAAAAATGATCAATGAATTATAAAGGAATACATAAAAACAACTGAATGAATTATAGAAGTTTACAGATTATGAATGATAAATTCAATAAGGAGATAGAAATATTTTTTAAAAAGAACCAAACACAAATTTTGGAAATGAAAGACACAATAAATCAAATAAAATTTTTACTTG